TGAATTTCTTTTCTTTTCTTTTTCATCTAAAGTTTAATGAACCGCGTTATTTTATTTCCTGGAAACAAATTTAAATTTTTTCCCTTTTTTTTTTTTTTTGAAAGAGAGATACAGATAGAGAGAGAGAAATTGAAACCGTGATTTTAATAAACTTTCTAATTATAAAATTATGTTTGGCAATATTCGAATTACCACAACAACAACAACAACAACAATGACAACAACATGCACGCATAATAGCGATTGCGGTTGTTTTTTTGTCAAATCGATAAATGGCGTGCAATAAAATTTCAAATTAATTATTTGAATGAATCTTACTCATTATATTTGCATCAGGTTTCATTTTTCTTTTTTTTTCGTCTGCTTCTTTCCCTCTCTCACTCTCTCTCTCTCTATCTCTTTCACTCAAATCAGATTTTCAAGTTTTCAAACTGACTACTTTCACTAATGTTTTTTTTTTTTTTTTTTTTTTTGGAATTCTGCATTAATCTCAACAATATTAAAACTCGTTTCGTTTTTTCTTCCATCTTTCTTTCTTATTACCTTCCTAACTAGGAAATAAAATACTGTTTTTTTTTCCAAAACATAACTTACAAAAAAAGAAAATTTTACAGATGCAATCAACTATGAATTTCTTATTAATTTAATAAGAACTATGTGTGTGTGTGAGAGAGAAAGATAGAGAGAGAGATTAGTAAATACTAAATTCATTTTAAAAAATTTATTTCTTTCCAACTTTTACTAATAAATCAAACGAATAACCGTGCTCTACATATATATATATACACACACATAAAAAGGCATGATTATATATAAATGTGTGTGTTTGTATCTATGATTAAGGTCTGATTTCAAGACAAACAAGGTCACTTTATCATACTTTATAAAGGCGCCAGAAAGTGCGAGATACGTTTATATACAATCTATTCAATGCAATGCAATGAAACAATTTTTTATAATTTACCTCTTCGAACAAATCATAAGCATCGAAACAAACCAAAACAATTGAACAGTAGTCAAATTTGGAAAAAGAAGAAGATTTTAAAACCATTAATTTATTTAATCAACTCTATACTAATTGAAATAAAGATTTATCATGTGAAAAATTTTTAAAAACTTTTCAAACTTCATATTTGCCTCTGTCGAATACAATTCCGAATGTGACCAAATAAAATTGATTGCAATTTATCATGTAACCACATCATCGTTTTCCACACTACAATGACTTTAAACAATTTTTAGTATTTATCGAATTGGTTTGAAAAAAAAATAAAAATAAAAACCAAAGTTTGATCTTGACTATTTAATTAAATATATATATGACTCCCTGATTGAACAAAAAAAAAAAAAAAAAAAAAAAAAAAAACAATTCGAATGAATTCAAGTGCCAAGAGTAACAAAATTTAAAATGTAAGTCAGAAAGTCAGTCGAACAATTCCACCACACATGAGGTAACAATAGAGAGACATTCGAGTAATAAATCACAAATAGAAATTTATTACATGAAACAGAGAGAGAGAGAGAAAAAAAAGAGAAATTGCACAGCAAAGTGATTGTAACGACAAAAAACCAAAAGTTTTTTAAAATTCAATTAAAAAGTTAAAAGATTAAAAAAGAAAAAGAAAAAAAAAATTTGATTTAAAACTTTTTTAAACAAACAATTTCGATGAAGAGTTCATGACATAAAATTCAACAGAATTTTTTTCTTTTTTTTTTCTGCTTATGCAAAATTGACAGAAATTTTAAATTATTTATACATATCTTTAGTAAAAAAAACATTTTTCTTTTAAGTGTGACGTGGGATTAACATTTAGAAAAAAACACACATTTTTTAAATTGTTACATAGTTTTGATGTGTTTTAAAAAGCATTTTTCATTATAAAGTATAAAACCTAGAGAAAAAAATTACAAATATGCTAAAAAAAAAATAAATAATTTAACACAAGGCCCACTGACCTTGATACAGAATGCATATTCGCATTTTTTTTTTTTTTTACTATTAAAAAGTAATTAAATTTAAATTAAACGTTTAATAAATTATTTATAAAAAAAAAAAAACGTTCTCTAATTAATTCATAAAACACACCGATGAATAAAATTTATTAAACAAACTATTAAAATATGCCATGAGTTTTAAAAGATACTTAGGCGGAAAAAAATAATAAATATGTCCGCCATTTTGTTAATGAAATCGGTTGTTTAAGAAGAAGAAAAAAAATCAGTTTTTTTTTTCTTAATATAAAAAAAACAGGTGAAATTTCAAACGATTGTTATTAAATTTAAAAAATAAACCGGTAAAGTAAAAAAGTTTTACCATAAACTTAAATAAAAACATTTTTTGAAATGAAAAGAGAAAAAAAAAAAAATCTAAATGTAAAATGAGTCAAACGGAAGCCTATCCTACCTGTGTAATGTCAAAACAGGTTTTTTTCCTATACTAAGGTAGCGTACACCTAGCCATTGTACTATCCACAAAATGCGTGTGATTTCAACAAAAATTTTTTTTTTTTTTTTCACATACGTTTAAAACTATTTTCAAATTGTTAACCTCCACAATCACAAATAAAACTCATGTTTTAAATAAAATTACATTAATAATAATAAAAACTTTAAAACAAAAAAACAAAAAAAAAAAACTTGTTTAAAAAAAAAAAAAAGAAGCGAACAAAACTCACTATTATAACCGTTCTTTGATATCTAAGAACAAACTGGTGTCTTTTTTATTCGTTTGCGCATGCGCGGTAACTATGGATTTAGTACGGATTTTTACCGCTACAATCATTTATTAGCAGCACTGTACATTATTTAACGCATTCTTACCGTGGTATGACGTGATTTCGAGTTGACTTATATCTATGGAATCCATTTTGAAAAATAATAATTTAATAATTTTTCATATGAAATTATTAATTTTTTTATGAAATTATGTTTCATTTTATTTAAAAAAAAAAAAAAAATGTCGATCACGAAGACGACGACGACCGTGTGTTAATTTTTTATGTTTAAATCCACGTCTCTTATCGTTAAGTTTGTAAAAAAATATTATAATATATCAATGGGAAAAAAAAGAGAATTTTTTTTTATTTTACATAAAAAATATTATTAATTCGTGTAATCGTTTTAAACGGTCGGTTATTATTTATTATAATAATTATTATCATAATTATTATCATTAATCATAATGATAACAAGATACATGGCTAAGTAAATGGGAATCAAACAGGTTAGTGAGTTAATATTAAAACATTCCAAAACTTTTTCCCTCTTTTTTTTTCTCTTTTTCCCTTTTTTTAAACTAAATTTTTCGATGGTTTTTTGTTTTTACATAAAAATAAAAACTTTTACAAACAAACGAACAAACAAACACATACAAACAACCATACAAACAGGCACTCACACAGACACTCATACACACACATAAAAGTTATATCATCATAACACCTGTACAAAACAAAACCTCATTATTATTATTATTATTATTCATAACGTGTTATCATTTACTATGTTGCATGATAACATGTTTTATTATTATTATTATTATTATTATTATAAATACGATTAATATTTTAATCATGGGTCGATTTTACAAATATTTCTACTGTTTTGTTTTTTTTTTTTTTTTTTTTTTTTTATGTTAACGTGCCAATCTATTGTTTTTGTTTTAAAAATTGCCAATTGATGATAAATTTTTGGCATTATTATTATTATTTTTTAATTTCTAGTACATTTTATTAATAATGATAATAATGATGATGATAATAATAATGAATCGTATCGTTTTCATTATGTTTTTTTTTGAATGAAAATTTTTTTTGTTATTGTGAAGGATGATAACGTCACGAGTTTGTTGTTTTCATTATTTTATTTATTGTTTTAAATATTTTTTTAATTAGGTAATAATAATAATAATAATAATAATAATAATAATAATAGTAATAATAATAATTAAAGGGTTGTTGTTGTTATTATTAAAATTTTTTGTTGATTTTTTTATATTTTTTTGATACGTTTGATTGGTTATTCGTTTCGTTAATTTTCTTTTTTTTTTTGGTTTCTCCAGCCACGAACAGTTCCAGACGATTTAAATTTATTTTTTTTTTTAAATTGTTTGATTTGTTTTATTACCTGAATGATTTTATAACGGTTTTTTTTTTTTATTTATTTGACGAATTTGTAAAAGTTATAAAGTACCTGTGCCACCTGTCGTCGTTTGTTTCTTTTGATAAATAATCGTATGAGTTCATTATACTTTTGTTTGTATTTGTTCGTTTATAAACTTTTTGGATTTTATAATTGATTTGTTCTATTCTATTCTTTTTTTTTTTTTTTTTTTTAAATTTACATCGAGATTAAATTTTTAAATAGAATACGACCGTGACAAATAAAAGAAGAAAGAATTGATTTCTATTTTTTTTTTAAATTTAAACGAATGCGAAATTTTTTACGGTTAATTTTATTTTATTTTTTTTAAATTTGTTTTAAGGGGTTTCGTATAGATAAAAAAAAAAAAACACATCCGAACGTTTATTTTTAAACGTGGAATCTTATTTTATAACGAAAACTTTTTTAATTTAAACTCGAAAAAAAATAAAATAAAAAATATTTATTCAAGTTTTCCTCCTTAGAATCCTTAAAACGCCAAAAATAGTAAACAATCAAAAAACTTGAAAATTTTTATTACCGCATTGCATTCGTGTATTGAAAAAAGTATAATTGAATTTGCGTGGGCTGAATTTTTTTTTGTCTGGAAAAAATAGGGATTTTATTTCATGCAAGAAGAAAAGAAAAATTTAAAAATGGAAAAAAAAAATTTATTTTTTTATTTAAATAATAATAATAATAATGAATACATATAAATATTTGTGTTTAATAATAATGATAATAATATAAGTTACGCGGGAGAAGATTTAATTTATAAAATGGTAAATATCGATATTTGAATGGTAATTTTAAACAGTCTAATTAAATATATATATGTCCTGAGTAATAAATAAAATTGATTATTTCTTGACTGGGTGGACGCTGCTGCCTTCTTTCCTTACGGTGGCATGGAATCCGGTGGCCCAGTCAGCAACGTAATCAACGACACGTCTGGAACCGTCTGGTTCGACCAAACTGTATTGTCCTCTAACAACATCTCCGTCTCTTTCTTCGTATTGGTGTTTGTTGTCACCGGTGTGTGGGTCATTGACTCCGTATTCGAAAGCATATCTTGGATGCAAGTCCTGGAATATCGTAAAAGGAAAAAAAAAAATTATTATGGGGTTTTTTTATGCGTGGGAGGAGGAGAATTCATGGAAAGTTTTTGATTTGTAAATAAACTTACGACGTATTTGGCATAGTGATCAACTGGTTTGACGACAGTAGCTGATTGAACACCAGTGGTTAACAAGGCAGAAGAAACTTGTCCGGCGCTCAAAACTGGAGCAGATTGAGCGTAGGTAGCGTATCCTGGAGCAGCGGCAGCATAACCTAAACCAGATCCGGCACCGTAACCAAATCCTGATCCAGCAGTGTATCCTAAGCCAGATCCGGCAGAGTAGCCCAATCCAGCACCAGTAGAGTAGGTGGCAAGAGCTGGTCCGGCAGAGTAAGTGGCTACAGCTGGGGCGGAAACGGTGGCGGTTTTAACGACGGCTGGGGCAGCAGAGAAGCTAGCAACAGCTGGGGAAGCGTGGAAAGAAGAAACGGCTGGTCCGGCAGAGTAGGTGGCTACGGCTGGAGCGGAAACAGTGGCAGTTTTGACGACGGCTGGAGTAGCAGAGAAGCTAGCAACAGCTGGAGAAGAATGGAAAGAAGAAACGGCTGGTCCAGCAGAGTAAGTGGCTACAGCTGGGGCAGAAACGGTGGCGGTTTTGACGACAGCTGGAGCAGCAGAGAAGCTAGCAACAGCTGGAGAGGCAGAGTAAGAAGAGTAGGCTGGCCCAGCGGAGTAAGTAGCTACGGCTGGAGCGGAAACAGTGGCAGTTTTGACGACGGCTGGAGCAGCAGAGAAGCTAGCAACAGCTGGAGAAGAATGGAAAGAAGAAACGGCTGGTCCAGCAGAGTAAGTGGCTACAGCTGGGGCAGAAACAGTGGCGGTTTTGACAACGGCTGGTCCAGCAGAGTAAGTGGCTACAGCTGGGGCAGAAACAGTGGCGGTTTTGACAAAGGCTGGAGCAGCAGAGAAACTGGCAACAGCTGGAGAAGCGTGGAAAGAAGAAACGGCTGGTCCGGCAGAGTAGGTAGCTACGGCTGGAGCGGAAACGGTAGCGGTTTTAACGACAGCTGGAGCAGCAGAGAAAGTGGCAACAGCTGGGGAAGCAGAGTAAGAGGCGAGAGCTGGTCCGGCAGAGTAGGTAGCTACGGCTGGAGCGGAGACGGTGGCAGTTTTGACGACGGCTGGAGCAGCAGAGAAGCTAGCAACAGATGGAGAGGCAGAGTAGGAAGAGTAAGCTGGCCCAGCGGAGTAGGTGGCTACGGCTGGGGCAGAAACAGTGGCGGTTTTAACGACGGCTGGAGCAGCAGAGAAGCTAGCAACAGCTGGAGAGGCAGAGTAAGAAGAGTAGGCTGGCCCAGCGGAGTAAGTAGCTACGGCTGGAGCGGAAACAGTGGCAGTTTTGACGACGGCTGGAGCAGCAGAGAAGCTGGCAACAGCTGGAGAGGCAGAGTAAGAGGCGAGAGCTGGTCCGGCAGAGTAAGTAGCTACGGCTGGAGCGGAAACGGTAGCGGTTTTAACGACGGCTGGAGCAGCAGAGAAGCTAGCAACAGCTGGAGAAGCGTGGAAAGAAGAAACGGCTGGTCCGGCAGAGTAGGTGGCTACGGCTGGAGCGGAAACAGTGGCAGTTTTGACGACGGCTGGAGTAGCAGAGAAGCTAGCAACAGCTGGAGAAGAATGGAAAGAAGAAACGGCTGGTCCGGCGGAGTAGGTAGCTACGGCTGGAGCAGAGACGGTAGCGGTTTTAACGACGGCTGGAGTAGCAGAAAAGCTAGCAACAGCTGGAGAGGCAGAGTAAGAAGAGTAGGCTGGTCCAGCGGAGTAGGAAGACAAAGCTGGGGAAGAGTAAGAGTTGTAGAAAGCTGGTCCAGAAGAGTAAGAAGTAAATGCTGGAGAGCTGAATGAGGCAGTTTTGAGCAAACTTCCGGTTGAAAGAGATACAGATGGAGCAGAGCTGGCATAAGTGCTGAAAGCTGGAGCAGATACACTAGCGGTTTTAACGACGGCTGGAGTAGCAGAGAAACTGGTAACAGCTGGAGAGGCAGAGTAGGAAGAGTAAGCTGGGCCAGCGGAGTAGGTAGCTACGGCTGGAGCGGAAACGGTAGCGGTTTTAACAACGGCTGGAGTAGCAGAAAAGCTAGCAACAGCTGGAGAAGCTTGAAAAGAAGAAACGGCTGGTCCTACAGAGTAAGAAGCAACAGCTGGAGCAGCAACGGCAGCAGTTTTAACAACAGCTGGGCTGCTAGCAACGCTAACACTTGGAGCGCCAAACTAAAAAAAAAAAAGAAAAAATTTCCCTATGATAATCTTCTTATTGTTTTTCCCATTGTAAATCATTTACACTCAACGTAATTTAAAAAACGTAATCTTTCCCTTATTTATCATACGCACTGATAGTTTTTCTTAAATTACATTCATACTCCATTTTCATTCACATTAATTTGTGTATCATCCTTTTATATTGTTTAATGCTAAATTTATAAGTTTAATTTTTTTTTTTAAGGAAAAACCATTTAATGAAAACAAAAGTAATAACACACACGCACACACTCACGCTCACACACATACACATATAAAAAAAAGAAAGTAAAAGGAGAAATGTTGATTTTTTATTTTTTTTATGAAAGTATCATAGTAAGGAAGAAGTTTAACGTTTAAAAAAATTTTTCTTCTCTCTCTATCTCTCTCTCTCTCTCTTTAAAAAAAAATGAAAGTCAAAATATCACATTCGACACTTCCAAAAATAAAATAAAAAATTTATATCGCTCACATCGTAAACGTAAAAACAAAACAGGTTTGTTTGGCCAGGTGAACGATTGATTTATTATTACTCACGTACTTGTTATAATTATGATCCTGCCATTTTTTTTTTAAATAGCAGAAGAAATTTTCGTAATTTTTTAATTTTCATTACGTTAAGTGTTAAATCATTTCCCTCTTACCCCTCCCCTTCCCACTTCCTAATTATCACGTACAATAGACCTTGAAATCTCTCATCAAACGTGCGTTAGAAATGAAAATCAAATGATGATGATGATACTTACGTTGGCAACTCCGTGTTGCAAATAAGATGTGAAAATTGGGCTGAGGGAATCTGAGTGAGTCAAAGCATAGTCTCTAAGTTCGGCGGTATGAAAACCTGGTGGATGATGACAGTTCTTCAAATGAACTTCCAATTGTTGACTGTTGAAACCGGCAAAGGCGGTGGCCAAAAGGGCGAAAAATACAACCGCTACCTAAAAACAAAAAAATTATTATTATTATCATTATTACTAATCAGTGCCGTCGCAATAAGGTTTAATCTTACAAAAGAGGGCGTGGGGGGCGTCAATATTTGCCTCTAAGGTTCGATATCATTGCGAAAAATTATGAAGAAAAAAAATACCATCGAGGATTTTATTACTTAATAATTGACAATTTTAATTTACGATCGATTTTTCTCGAACGATATCTTTAAAATCGATTAATCGAACGATATGATAACAAAAATAAATGAACAAATAAATTTTTCCGGTTGTTTTGTTTGTTTTTCCCCTAAGCCCCACGAACGTGAAATTATTAATTTTTTTTTCGCTCTGGAATTTATTCGACGCTGGAATTTTTTTTTAACTTCCGGTACGTGGCGTGACGTTAAAAAAGTGACACTCGAACTCGCCTTCGTCACGTTTTTTTTTTTTTTCCCAAAACACGAAAATTTTCAAAAATTACGTCATAATGATAATAAAATAATTATTTAAAAACTTTCGTGACGCGATATATCGAACGTCACTCATTTTTTTTTTTTTTTAAATCGTTTTGGATTTTTTCAAACTCCAGCAAATAATTTGTCGAATCGAATCAAACCCCCCTTCCCCCGGCTGGAAAAATAAAAAAAAAATATTTTGGAAAAGAAAAAAAAAAAAAAAACTATTTCGGATCTTTGTAATCCGCACGATCGTTATTTATGATTTTTTTTTTTCTCCAAAATTTTATTACGTAAATTTTTATTACCTGGAGTAATTTTTAAACGTCTCAACACGCCTTCCAGAATGCTTACAAAAATTTTTTTTTTTTTATTTACGCTGGAGAATTTTTTTATCTTTAATGTACTCTTACGCAAAAAAATTTATTTATCGATGACGTTTCGTCACTTTAATAATTACTCATTATTAATCGACCTTATTAAATTTAAACTAAATCCATTGTAATCGTTATCATTATCATTATTATTATTATTATTATTTAACAAATCGTAATAAAAACATTTGACATTTATTACCCACCGATTACCAATCAAAGAATTATTTATTTTTATTATCGCGTAGCATTTATTTAAATCCTTTAATTACTATTATTTTATTAAATTTTATTTCGTTATTAACGCGTAAAAATTATTAATAAATAACAATAATAATTATAATAATAATAAATAAATAAATAAATAAAAATTTGACGCGGAATAGGGGAAAAGAAAAAAAAAACGTTAGAAAACTTTTTTTTTTCTCTCTCTCGCAAAAAAATTGTTTTTTTTTCATTCGTTTGTTTTTAAATCGTTTATTCGATTATATATCGATTAATCGAACTATCGATATATCGATTTATGCAATTAGGAAAAAATTAATTATTAAAAAAAATCGTCCAACCTTATATGGAAAATAAAAAATTTTTTTAATTTTTTTTTTTTTTAAATTTAATTAATCGTAGTAAATTTTTGTTTTGTTTTCCTACTCACGGTCCTGATTATTAAAAACATTATTCATAAGTTAAACATTATCGAAATCGATCGGAATCAATTTATTATTATTATTATTATTACTCCCAATAATTATTTTAAACTGAAAATTTATTATTAAAAAAAAAAAAAAAAAAAAAAAATTTAAGGAATAAATGAACGCATAATTTAATTTATTAACTTTCCACTCTCCTTTAATAATAATAATAATAATAATAATTAATAATAATGATGATAATAATAATAATAATTTATCGATTCGATATATTTTCGATAGCGGAAAAAAAAGAGAAGAAGGAAAAAAAAAATTTCCTATCGTTTAACTATCAAATAACTTTTGTTAGTTTTTTTTTTTTTAAATTTAAATATAATATTTAGCTTATGTAAAATTAATTAAAAAAAAAAAAAAATTAATGGAAAGTTGTAGTAGTAACGACGACAAAACTATTTTAGTTAAAAAAAAAAAAAATAATAACTTTCTTGTTTATATTACTACTAAATTTTTGTAAATTCGTTTGTTTGTTTGTTAAAACAACAAACGAACAACCCCCCGTTGTTGTAATACGTTACGTATCCGGTATTTAAATATTATTATTATTACTGATCGATCGGTGGTGGTAAGAGAGAGTAATTATGTTAATCATCATGCGACGAAATAAAAAAAAAAAAAAACAATTCGTGACTAGTAAACGTCATCATTTGGCACGAATGATTAATAAATAATAATAATAATGATAATAATAATAATGATAATAATAATAATGATAATAATAATAAATTATTACGTAATAAATTAAATAAAATTCGATTTATTATTATTACTATTACAAAACGATTACAAAAATCTTAGAATAAAAAAATTTAAAAAAAAAAAAAAAAAACTATAACGAAAACTATTATTATTATTAATAATTATTATTATTATGAAAATTTTATGAAATGGAGAAAAGGTATGCCAAAATCACGGGTGCCAACTTGATGAACAAAATTTTTTTGCTGTATTTCGGTCGAAAATTGTATTTAAAAAATTTAAAAAAATAAAAATAAAAATAATTTAAAAATTCACGCCGCCATTTTTTTTTAAAAACCGCCTTAACTTCGCTGTTGTTACAATAATAATAATAATGATAATGATAATAAAAGTTAAAAATTTTGAAAAACAAATAAAATTTTGGAAAATAAAAAATAAAAACAAAAAGAAAATTTATAAATTATCACTGCCATTTTTTTTTTTAAAAAACCGCCTTAACTTCGCTGTCGTTACGATGATAATAATAATAATAATGATAATGATAATGATAATGATAATGATAATAAAAATTAAAAATTTTTAAAAATTTTGAAAATTAAAAATTAAAAAAAATATCTCACCTTCATGATTTTCGCGGGTTTTTTTTTTTGAAATTTGTTTTTTTTAAAAAAAATTAATCCACACAAAATGTTAGGAGCACAGATCCCACAGATCCCACAAGCACCGAGTAGTAGTAGTAGATTCGTTATTATTTAAAAAAATAATAGATTAAAATGGACAGTATAGAGTTTATATATGCCGCCCTAGTTTATCTCGTTCGTTCGTTTTTTTTTTTTTTTTGGGTGGGGCTGAGTACGTATCAGTAGTGGCCACCAATTCGCATGACGGGGTCTTTCATTCAGACACACCACATTTAATATTAAAAAAACCGGGTACTTGTCATAGGTACGCTTATAATCTATCTTTTTCTAACACATTACTAATCCATATACTTTCCATCTCTTTTCTGCTACGTTTTTTTTCCATCTCTCTCTTTCTCTCTTCTTACGGTCCCTCACTCTTTCTTTCTTTTTATCAAAACCCTCTCCTACTACTACTACTACTACTACTCTCGTCATTGTTTATTAATTATTGATCCATCGATTAAATGAGGGGAAATTATTTTTGGGAAGGTTGGAAAAGCCGTGGAAATTTTATCGTTGGTCTTTTATGGATAAAAAAAAATAACACGTGATTTTCATTTTTTTTTTTTTGGAATAAACGTTCGCCCACTTTAATTCCAGAACATAAATTTTTCTCCATTTTTTTTTTCTGTCGTCATCGTCATCGTGATTCTGACGAACTTTCCTTTTCTCTCTCTCTCTTTCTCTTTCTCTTTCTTTCTCCCACGTAACAAATCGTGATTTATTATTACGTTATTTACAAACGGACCCTTTCCTCCTCCCCTTCTCCCTTCCCTTTCATTTGTTATTTAACTTGTCCACCCGCACACCACCTTGTCCTGTTGTTATCATTCATTATTTTTTTTCCTTATACGTACGAGGTTATGTATAACCGTTTAACTTTCTTATTAAACAAAAATTTTTATTTTTCAACCCCCGTCCCCCTACCGTTCCCCTCAAACCTTGATGACAAAATAAAAACATTCGAGTTTAATTGAAAAACGTGTTGGATGGGTCGTTTGCTCGTTTGTTTGTTTGTTTTAATTTCCGGAAACGTACGTAAAAAAAAATTTTTTTGTTATGTGGAATCCGTTCGGAACGTGTTATCACGTCGTAATTTTTTTCTTATCAAAAAGGGTTGATAACCTTTGAGATTTTTTAAAAAACATTAATTTAATATCGAAATCGATATTTATAAAATCGTGATTGATTTGATTCGATTTAATTATAATTTTTTTTTCGGAATTTCGTTCGCCATAAATTTTTTTTTATTTCGCTCGAACTAATTAATTAATAATAATAATAATAATAATAATAATAATAATAATAATAATAATTTTAATCACGAAAAATTTTCAATGTCATAACAAAAATACAATAAATAAATCAAACGTTTATGTTTCGTTTCTCTCTCTCTTTCTTTCTCCATTAGGATGATGAATCGATGGAGAAATGAGAGAGAGAGATAGAGAAATTAAGAAAGGTTTTATTAATAATAATTAAATAAATAAACAAAGGTGTGGAGTAATTTTTTTTTTTTTTTATTATTGTGAAATATTACCTAGAACGTTTGTAATCCGTCACCGGTTATTTTTTTTTTTAAATAAATTTTCAAGGAGAAAAAATTATTTTAATAAAAAACTGGAAAAATAAATTTTTTTTTTTATACTGGAATTTTAAATTTGTTTCATTCCACACCTCTGTATGAATTTTCATTAAAAAAAAAAAAAAACGGAAATGAATTGCTCAATAATTTTTTTTTACACCGATTAATAAAATCAAAATGGCGACAAATATTCTTCTTCTTCTTCTTATTCTTTAAACTTTCACTGATTCCACTTGAATTATTTTTCTAATTTTAATAAATTATTTATTAATTAATTAATTAAATGTGGTAATCAAATTCACGCATCCGGAAAATACGCTCCCCGTAATAATAATAATAATAAAACGGAAAATTTATAACCTACCATATCGTTTAATTTAAAAAACGTTTTTCATCGTTTTATTATTATTATTATTATTATTAATTGTACGATTGATATTTTGACAAAAAAAATGTAAATGTTGAAAATATGATTCAATATATACATATGAACAAATCACCGGTTTATTTGAAAAAAGAGAGAAAGAGAAAGAGAGAGAGAGAGAGAAAGAAAAAGAAATCAACATTTAAATGCCCTGGAATAATAATGATAACATTAATTAAGTTTTGGGCATTTTAAATGTCGCAATTATGTTAACGACACAAAATGTGTCGATTG